CCCCCCCCCCCCCCCCCCCGACCCCCCCTGTGGCGGAGCCCCTGCATATGAGTTAATGCACAATACTATTAGGATGATCGCCATTCACCAACAGAGCGGGAGCATTTAAGTTATGGAAAAATAAACAATTATTATTCCGGCAAATACCTTTTTAAGAATAATTAACACAGCAGTCCACAAAAAAATCTAGAGGTGACGCATTGACCGCCAATAAAAATATGGATATGGATTTAGGAATGATATGGATTCGATTTACTTTTAAAGGTCCCTGCCACTTAATACGATTTTGGATGAATAAGGCCTTGTCGTACCTGGCGTGATCGGCTGGGTTAGGGATCCAGGTCTTGGCGTCAGAGACGCCGGCTCCTCGCCACATCTTCTCGCTCGTGGGCCCTGTTAGTTCCGGCATGTCTCCGTCCCAAAACAGGTGTAGTCAAACACAGGACCTTGTATTCATCTTGTCTATAGATCCGTTTCTGCAACACGTCAGAACAATCGTCACATATAGCAGCAGTGAGCTCTTCCCTAACACAACAACTGAGCCACACTCGATCTGACGATTAGACCTTGACATGACCCATACTCGTTCGTCCTTGACACATTTCGACTGCAAGTAGCACATACTAGGCACATACTATCATAAGACTGAAAACGACCAGTTCAATCGGTTAAACTTACTGACTGTGTGCACCTCATGCCGGACTAACTGGGGGGCTGATTCCCTCTGACACACGGTCGAAACAGTCTCTTCATATTATTCCTGCAGAAACAAAGTTATCAGTTTGGTACTCAAACACGGACAAACCTGAAACACCTTTGGCTTGGCTATTCACAGCCTTAAACAAAATAACATTCTCAAAATACTTTCTAGTTTCTAGGCCTTATCGCGGACCTTTAGCTCTACATACATGAAATGCGGCAAACAAATACAAATCCAGCGCAGAGTTCAAGTGCTGATATCAGACAGAGATCACGGTAAATCTGCTAGTTTCATATCACCATCAACAACGGGCATTTATCTGATTCAATCCACATAGAGTTATGCAAGATTTCACTTCCTAAACTCACTCATTAGCGCCAGGGAAATCAAACCATCCTCAGAAACAATCCTGAACAAGAATGTCGGCCGCAGTCGCACAAAACGGGCGTGGCAGGAACACGACAGTGTCCACCACTATCATACCGAAAATGCTGACACGTCACAATGTTTTAGGTTCTTAGATTCGAAAACGTGAAACACAAAACGCAGAATTATTTGTTTCGGAAAACGTTGTACAAAATATTGTTCATAGCATTCAAAGAAAACCGTGGAAATATTCATCAGAATGGTATTCGAGTATTTAAAGTACCTGCCACATTCGAGTACTTGTAAATACCCACGCGTAATCACACTCGGTCAGTATAGATGTCGCGACGATCGAACGCCAAACTGCTGCTATAGCGTGACTATCGGCGCTTAACTAATATAGATGTCGCGACGATCGAACGCTAAACCGCTGCTATAGCGTGACTGCCGGCGCTAGACTGCTGCTATAGCTAGAGGGCAACTACACCCGCCCCCTTGAAGCCACCACGCAATACATGGCTTCAACCTTAGTCTACGACACGAACATGACGCACAGGAACATCTTCCATACAGAGTACACGATCTCGCCTACAGCTTAATCAGCTTAGTCACCGGTCGCTGAAGCGTGACGCCTCTGGTCTTAATCTCTACCGAGCGCACTAATCCGTCTGCTCCGACTCGTACTCGCTCCACTACTCCTAATGGCCACTGGCCTCGCGGCACAGGATCATCAACAACTAGAACCGCGTCTCCTACAACAAGGTTAGTCATTTTCCTTGTCACCCTATACGGTCGTTCCTGTAACAACGGTAAGTATTCTGCTCGCCACCGCTTCCAGAACAGATTCGCGAGATACCTCGCCTGCTTCCAACGTTTGACACTATCTGAGTCACTCTGGCCTACTACCCCGAACGGCATCACCACGCTGCCGGTACCAATCAGCAAATGGTTGGGAGTGAGTGGCTCGTGATCAACCGGATCTAAGGATACTGGGGTGAGTGGCCTACTGTTCAATATTGCCTCTACTTCACACAATAGAGTCAACAGAGTTTCTTCCGTGAACGTCTGCGAGTCCAGCAATGATCCCAGGATTCTTCGGATTGAGCGTATCTGTCGTTCCCAGACACCTCCGTGGTGGGACGCTGCGGCTGTGTTGAATTTCCATTCTACTCCTTGATTCAACAGCGTACGATGCAGCACATCTTCATTGGCTCGCAGTTTCTCCAACTCCTCTCGAAGCTCGCGACTGGCACCAACAAAATTTGTCCCCTTGTCTGATCTGAGCACCTTGACGTGACCTCTCCGTGCGACGAATCTACGCAAGGCGCACAGGAATGAATCTCCTGACAAATTTTCGGCGACCTCGATGTGGACGGCCCTCACCGCCAAACAAGTAAAAACGACTCCGTACCTCTTCAACTGCTTCCGTCCTTGTCGGACAAAAAACGCTCCGAAATAGTCGACTCCGGTTCGAGTGAATACAGGTTCTTCCGCTGTGACTCTGTCACTCGGCAGGTCCGCCATCTTCTGAGATTCTGGTGGGCGATGTCGTCGGCGGCACCCGAGGCAACGTCCAATCACTCGTCTGACGATCGAGTTCCCTTTCACGATCCAGAAACGTTTCCGTATCTCAGCTAACACATGTTGACGTCCAGAGTGTCCGACCTTCTCATGCACCTGTTGAACAGTTAGTTCGGCGAAATAGCAATCCGGGAGTACAATTGGGTGCTTCTGGTCCAGGGTGACATCAGCATTCTTCAAACGTCCGCCAACTCGGAGGATCCCATCACTCAGGAATGGATTCAGCTTACTGAGAGCTCCCTTCACTTCCTTCCCATTGCGGAGTGTCTCCAGCTCATCAGGGAAACTCTGCTCCTGTACCCACCTAACGACACAGTTCTCTGCTTCTTCGAGATCTATCAGCTTAAGTCGAGAGGGACGCTCCGTTTCTCGACCCTGCGATTTTGTCGCTCTTTCCTGCAATCTCTTCTTCACCTTCAGCAGCCAAGCCACTGCCCTTAGAAGAGCCTGCTTCTTACTGTAATGACGAATGAGCACTTCGATTGGATCCTTCATCTTCTCTTCTGACACCTTCATTGCACAGACCTTCACCTTCTTCACTTCAGGGTCTTCTTCCGCTATCTTCACCTTGGTTGGAGGCATCATGGGCCACTGCTCCTCTGGAAGCCGAAGAAAAGCCGGTCCAGAAAGCCACCTCTCACTCTGAACACCTCGGGAACTGTCATCGGCCGGGTTTTCTTCACCTCTCACGAACCTCCAGTTCTCAGTCTTTGATCCATCGTGGATGATCGCCAACATGTTGCTGACAAACGTGTGGAATCTAGTCGCAGTGTTCTGCACGTATGCGAGAACGGTAGTACTATCCGTCCAGAAGAAATGTTCTGTCTCCAAACCGAGCTCCATCGCGTCCTCTATCAGCAACCGAACACGTACCGCCGTCACTCCAGCCATCAACTCCAGACGAGGAATCGTTATTTTCTTCAGTGGAGCCAGATGTGATGTACCTTTCACGAAAGCGACATGGACATCTCCCTGCTGGTCAGTGAAGCGAGCATAGGTGACTGTACCATACGCCCACTCACTAGCGTCGCTGAAATGATGCATCTGGAGCGTCGCCATTCCACCGAATTCAGCTGGCTTCAGATGCCGTGGGACACACAGATCTTGAGTAGCATCCAGATGAGATAGCCATTTCATCCAGTCGCTGCGCTGTTGAGCTGGAATCTCCTTGTCCCAGATTTCTCTCGTCCTGCAGAGATCTTGTAGGATCTTCCTGCCACAGATTATCGTTGGCGAAACGAGACCGAGCGGGTCGTAGATAGAACTCACTGCTGAAAGGATGCCTCTGCGGGTCAACGGCTTCGCCCGCAGACTGGTCGCGTTGACAGATACCCCCAGCAGATCGTTCTCTGTATCCCAGACTACGCCCAGGGCGCGCTCTTCTGGTACACTTTCACCGACTCCTGTACATGTCTGCATCGCCTTTGACCTGTCGCCTGTCTGGATCGAGGACATAAACGCCGAGCTGTTGCTGGTGAACTTCTTGAGACTGAACCCACCGTTCTCCAGCAGCGTCTTCAGGTCGTGAGCCAACGAGATGGCCATGTCAGCGTCGTCAGTGCTCTTCAACACATCATCGACGTAGAAGTTGCTGTTTACAGTCTTCACTGCTTCAGGTGATACCTCTTCTGCGAAGTCCGTCGCCGTCTCTCTCAAGGCGTAGCACGCCACACTTGGCGAAGACTTCGCTCCGAAGATATGGACAGTCATCTGATACTCTACCACACCAGAGTCGGGGCGCCCGTCTCTCCACCACAGAAATCTGAGGAGATCGCGCTCAGACTCTGGCACCCGAACCTGGTTGAACATACTTTCCACGTCAGCCATGAAGGCGACTCGTTCCATCCTGAAGCGCATCAGGACATCGAGTAGCGAGTTCGTCATGTCGGGGCCTTGCAGTAAGCAGTCATTCAGACTGACACAGCCGTACTTCATAGCACAGTCATAGACGACGCGGATGCGGTTCTTTGACGCGTGGCGCACTCCATGGTGCGCCAAGTAGTTCACTCTGCCGTCGTCACGATGAATGTCTGCTACTGGTACGGGCTCAGCGTATCCCTTGTCGATCATTTCTTCCACAGAATCTCGGTACTGCTCAGCGAACTCAACATCGTTCTTCATTCGGCGACCTAGACTCGTCAGTCTTCTCTCTGCCAGGACACGGTTGTTCGGCAGTACGACGTCTTCATCCTTCAACGGAATGCTGAACTGGTAGTGTCCTCTGTCAACTTTCTTGGACGCCTCCATCACCGTGAGCCACTTCTTGTCCTCCTCAGACAGGCCTCTCTTCGTTGAGTTGAGGTTCTCTTCGTATTCCCGATTATACATTCCTTGTATCATATCTTCGATGTCATTCACCGATGTTCTGTAGACCTTTGTTCCGCTGTCTGTGGCTGAGGAAGACGTCACCCCACTCAGGATCCAGCCGAACCTCGTGCGCACAGCATACGGGCTTCCGTTGCGACTGGGTATCACTTGCAGCGGCTCCATGCTGAGAAACGCGTTGGCACCGAGGAGAAGTCCAACGCATGTGGCGTCTGCCTGCTCGAATTCTACTCCTGTGAGATGTTCCCACCTACTGACATCGAGCTGGTGGCTGGGGAACTCCTCTGGGTCCACCGGGATACGCTCCAATTCGAACAGCGGAGGCAGCCGGAGCGCGTGCCGCCCACGTAGGTCCGAAACCGTTACTCCCTCTACTACATGTGTTTCCACCTTCGTGCTTCTGTCGACTGTCGTCAGTGAAAGCTGTTTGCGTGGCATGTTGTCAATGTTGAGCTCTTTGATCAACGCTGAGGAGATGAAGGAATGTGTCGAGCCGCTATCGAGAAAAGCGTATGTTTGACACGTACTCGTACCAACACGAACAACAACAGGCACAACAGGGAGAACTGGCTTGCTAGCCTCAGACTCACCCGCTGTTTGACATGTTGTTACTCTGGCGGCGTCGGTAGGCCCCTCTCGTTGCTGCTGCTGGGTGTGATTCAGCTCATGTCCACGTCCATGCTGATGTTGGACAACATGTGATTGGTCATGCTGACGGCCCTGTTGTCCTTCTCGTGGCTGTTGTTCCTCCCTTTGATGCTGAGTGTCGTCTCGATCCGGGTGCTGTCCACTCTGTTGCTGATATTGCCGCACGTACTGTTCAGATCGTTCCCAGTGTAGTGAGGTTGGATGTCGCCTTCCACATGTCCTGCACGACGCTCTTCGCCTGCAGTCGCGACTTCGATGTCCTTGCTTCAGACAGCTCCAGCACAGAGCCTTCTCCCGGACGAAGTTTTGCTTCTGTTGACTCGTGACTGCGGAGAGACTCTCACACTCACACACATCATGACCTCGTCGGTTACAAAATACGCAGTGGCTCTCCTCGGGACGCGGCGTGACATGAGTCGCCGTTACCACTGCTCGACCAGAGCTCATCCGTGGACTCGTTCGTGTCACCGGTGTCCTACTCATGGAGTTCCCGCCAAACATGTCC